GCTTCTTGGCCATTCAATATTCCTCCATTGAAAACTTTTTGTTGAGCTTTGTACCCCATTTTTTAATAAGATTATTTGATTGTCTGGAGTCTAATTTCTTGAGGTTTTTGGATATTTTGGATATTGGCCCTCTATCAGATGTAGGATTGTTAAAGATTTTTACCTAATCTGTTGGTTGCTGTTTTGTCCTATTGACAGTGTCCTTTGCCTTACAGAAGCTTTGCAATTTTATGAGGCCCCATTTGTCAATTCTTGATCTTAGACCATAAGCCATTGATGTCCTGTTCAGGAACTTTTCCCCTGTGTCCATGTGTTCGAGGCTTTTCCCCACTTTCTCTTCTATTAGTTTCAGTGTGTCTGGTTTTATGTGGAGGTTCTTGATCTACTTGGACTTGAGTTTTGTACAAGGAGATAAGAATGGATCAATTTTCATTTTTCTACATGCTGATCGCCAGATGAACCAGTACCATTTGTTGAAAATGCTGTCTTATCCATCAGATAGTTTTAGCTCCTTTGTCAAAGATCAAATGACCATAGGTGTGTGGGTTCATTTCAGGCTCTATAGTTCTATTCCATTGATCTTCCTGCCTGACTCTGTCCCAATACCATGCAGTTTTTAATCACTATTGCTCTGTAGTACAGCTTGAGGTCAGAAATGGTGATTCCTCCAGAAGTTCTTTTATTGTTGAGAATAGTTCTCGCTATCCTAGGTTTTTTGTTATTCCAAATGAATTTGAGACTTGCTCTTTCTAATGCTGTGAAAAACGTAGTTGGAATTTTGATGTGGATTGCATTGTATCTGCAGGTTGCTCTCAGCAAGATCACCTTTTTTTTTTTTACTACATTAATCCTGCCAATCCATGAGCATGGGAGATCTTTCCATCTTCTGAGATCTTCAGTTACTTTCTTCAGAGACTTGAAGTTCTGTCATACAGGTCTTTCACTTGCTTGGTTAGATTCACACCAAGGTATTTTATATTATTTGTGACTATTGTGAAGGGTGTCATTTCCCTAATTTCTCTCTTAGCCTGCTTATCCTTCAAGTAAAGGAAGGCTACTGATTTTTTGGAATAAATTTTATATCCAGCCACTTTGCTGAAGTTGTTTATCAGGTTTAGGAGTTCTCTGGTGGAAGATTTGGGGTTACTTAAGTATACTATCATATCATCTGCAAATAGTGATATTTTGACTTCTTCCTTTCCAATTTGTATCCCTTTTATCTCCTTTTGTTGTCTAATTGCTCTGGGTAGGATTTCAAGTACTACATTGAATAGGTAGGGAGAGAGTGGGCAGCCCTGTTTAGTGCTTGATTTTAGTGGAATTGCTTCACGTTTCTCTCCATTTAGTTTGATGTTGACTATTGGCTTACTGTATATTGCATTTACTATGTTTTGGTGTGGGCCTTGAATTCCTGTACTTTCTAAAATTTTTTACCATGAAGGGGGTGTTGAATTTTGTCAAATGCTTTCTCAGCATCTAGTGAGATGATCATGCAGTTTTTTTCTTGGAGTTTGTTTATACAGTGAATTATGTTGATGGATTTCTGAATATTGAATATCTAATATTGAACCATTCTCAAATTCCTGCCTACTTGATTATGGTGGATGATAGTTTTGATGTGTTCTTGGATTCAGTTTGTGAGAATTTTGAGTATTTTTGCATCAATATTCATAAGGGATATTGGTCTGAAGTTCTCTTTCATTGTTGGGTCTTTGTGTGGTTTAGGTATGAGCGTAATTGTGGCTTCATAGAACGAATTGGGTAGTGTTTCTTCTGTTTCTATTTTGTGGAATAGTTTATAGAGAATTGGTCTTAGGTCTTCTTGGAAGGTCAGATAGAATTCTGCACTAAAACCATCTGGTCCTGGGCTTTTTTTGGTAGGTAGACTTTTAATGACTGCTGTCATTGCTTTAGGGGTTATAGGACTATTTAGATGGTTTATCTGATCCTGACTTAACTTTGGTACCTGGTGTCTGTTTAGGAAATTGTCCATTTCATTCAGATTTTCCAGTGTCACTGAGTATAGGTTTTGGTAGTAGGATCTGATGATTTTTTGGATTTCCTCAGTTTCTGTTGTTATGTCTCCCTTTTCATTTCTGATTTTATTAATCTGGATACTGTCTCTGTGCCCTTTGGTTAGTCTGGTTAAGGGTTTATCTTTCTTGTTGATTTTCTCAAAGAATCAGCTCCTGGTTTTGTTGATTCTTTGTATAGTTCTTTCTGTTTCTACTTGGTTCATTTCAGTCCTGAGTTTGGTTATTTCCTGCTGTCTACTCTTCTTGGGTGTTTTTGCTTCTTTTTGTTTTAGAGCTTTCAGGTGTGCTGTCAAGCTGCTAGTGTGTGCTCTCTCCAGTTTCTTTTTGTAGGCACTTAGAGCTATGAGTTTTCCTCTTAGCACTGCTTTCATTGTGTTCCACAAGTTTTGGTATGATATGTCTTCATTTTCATTAAATTATAAATGTCTTTAATTTCTTTATTTCTTAGCAGAGCAAATTATCATTAAGTATAGCGTTGTTCATTTTCCAGGTGTATGTGGGCTTTCCATTGATTTTATCATTATTCAAGACCAGCCTTAGTCTGTGGTGATCTGATAGGATGCATGGGATTATTTCAATCTTCTTGTGTCTGTTGAGGCCTGTTTTGTGACCAGTTATATGGAGAATATTGGAGAAGGTACCATAAAGTTCTGAGAAGAAGGTATATTCATTTGTTTTTGTATGAAATGTTCTATAAACATCTGCTAAATCCATTTGGTTCATAACTTCTGTTAATTTCACTGTGTCTGTCTCTGTTTAGTTTCCGTTTCCATAATCTGTCCATTGCTGAGAGTGGGGTACTGAAGTCTCCCACTATTATTGTGTGAGATGCAATGTGTGTTTTGAGCTTTAGTAAAGTTTCTTTTATGTATGTGGGTGCCCTTGCATTTGGAGCATAGATGTTCAGAATTGAGAGTTCATCTTGATTGATCTTTCCTTTAATGAGTATCAAGTGTTCATCCTTATCTTTCTTGATAACTTTTGTTTGAATGTCAATTTTTCGATTTTATTCCATATTAGAATGGCTACTCAAGCATGTTTTTTTTGGGACCATTTGTTTGGAAAATTGTTTTCCAGCTTTTAATTCTGAGGTAGTGTCTGATTTTGTTACTCAGGTGCATTTCCTGTATGAAGCAAAATGTTGGATACTGCTTTCGTATCCAGTCTCTTAGTCTACTGTGTCTTTTTATTGGGGGAATTGAGTCCATTGATGTTACGGGATACTAAGGAAAAGAGATTGTTGCTTCCTGTTTTTTTTATTTTTTATTTTTATTTTATTTTATTTATTTTTTTGTTGTTGTTATTAGAAGTGGAGTTATGTTTGTGTGGCTATTTTCTTTTGAGTTTGTTGGAAGAACATTACTTTTTTGCATGTTCTAGAATATAATTTCCCTCCTTGTATTGGAGGTTTCCCTCTATTATCCTTTGTAGGGCTGGATTTGTGGGAATATATTGTGTAAATTTATTTTGTCATGGAATATCTTGGTTTATCCATCTATGGTAATTGAGAGTTTTGCTGATCATAGTAGCCTGGGCTGGCATTTGTCTTCTCTTAGGGTCTGTATGACATCTGTCCAAAATCTTCTGGTGAGAAGTCTGGTGTAGCCAGGCAGTGGTGGCACATGCCTTTAATCCCAGCACTTGGGAGGCAGAGGCAGGCAGATTTCTGAATTTGAGGCCTGCCTGGTCTACAGAGTGAGTTCAGGACAGCCAGGGCTATAAGAAAAACCCTGTCTTGAAAAACCAAAAAAAAAAAAAAAAGTCTGGTGTAATTCTGATAGGTCTGCCTTTATAAGTTACTTGACCTTTTTTCCTTATGGCTTTTAATATTCTTTCTTTGTGCATTTGGTGTTTTGATTATTATGTGACAGGACAGGAGGAATTTCTTTTCTAGTCTAGTCTATTTGGAATTCTGTAGGCTTTTTCATGTTCATAGGCATCTCTTTTTTTTAGGTTAGGAAAGTTTTCTTCTCTAATTTTGTTGAAGATATTTATTGGCCCTTTTAGTTGCAAATCTTCCCTCTCTTCTATACCTATTGTCCTTAGGTTTGGTCTTCTCATTGTGTCCTGGATTTCCTGGGTGTTTTGGGTTAGGAGTTTTTGCATTTTGTGTTTTCTATAATTGTTGTGTCAAGGTTTTTTATGGTATCTTCTGCACCTGAGATTCTGTCTCTTATCTCTTGTATTCTGTTGGTGATACTTGCATCCATGACTCCTGATTTCTTTCCTAGGTTTTCTATCTCCTGGGTAGTCTTCCTTTGTGATTTCTTTATTGTTTCTCCTTCAATATTTATATCCTAGATGGGTTTGTTCAATCCTTCACCTGTTTGGATGTGTTTTCTTGTAATTCTTTAAGGGATTTTTGTGTTTCCTCTTTAAGGGCTTCTACCTGTTTACCTGTGTTTTCCTCTATTTCTTTGAGGGAGTTATTTAGATTCTTCTTAAAGTCTTCTATCATCGTCCTGAGAAGTTATTTTATATCTGAATCTTGCTTTTCCGGTGTCATGAGGTATTCAGGACTTGTTGTGGTGGGAGAACTAGGTTCTGATGATGCCAAGTAACCTCGATTTTTGTTGCTTATGTTCTTGCACTTGCCTTTTGCCACCTGGTTATCTCCAGTGCTACCTTCACTCACTGTCTCTGACTGGAGAAGTCTGTCCTGTTATCTTGCTTGTGTCAGAACTCCTCAGAGTCCAGCTGTCTCTGTGATCCTTTGATCCTGAGATCCTGTATAGCTCCTGGGAGTCGGGTTGCTTCTGAGATCCTAAAATTCTGGTGTGCCCAGGCTTCTGATATCCTGTGGTCCTATTATCCTATGTTCCTGGGTGTGTTAGAGTTCTTGGGAGTCCAGCTTCCTCTGGATTTTGGGAAATGTGGTGCAGAGCTGGCGCCTTATGATCGCTCTGGGCACTGGTGCAGACCGGAAGGGTCATAAAAAGTTTTAAAATGTCTTCATTTTCACAGAACGATGTTGCACTATGCCTGTGCACATGGCCATCCCGTTGTAGTTGCCTTCCTTATACAGTGGAATTGTGACGTTGATCTCCGTGACAGTGACAACTGCACAGCACTAATTAAGGTAGATATCACCCAACAGTTTCAGTGTGACATGGATTTGATGGGAATTCTGGGAATAAACATGGTCTCAGCTAAATGCAAATGGTTAGTGAAATCCGTGAAATTTTTGTATTTCCCATCTTTCCTATTTATTTCTTGATTTAATACCCATAGGCTTCACAGTATGGGAATGGAGAATGTGCGCTCATTTTACTAGATCATGGTGCTGATCCAAATACCAAGGACAACCATGGGAACACTGCTCTGCACTATGCTGTTTGGCATAACAACGCCTCAATGGCAGAAATACTACTGGAACACCATGCCGACCTCAGTATAAGGAACAAGGTAGAGACCACACAGCCTTGATTTACAGATTATTTTCACTGCGTGTGCTTTAAATGACTTATTTGCATTGTTTAAAAGTATATTATTTGATAAGACTGTCTTGTGTAATTTATAATGATCTTACAAATGGTTTTTTTTATTTTAGTAGTTAGAGGTTGTCTTTTAAAACAATCTTCAGCCCTTAAGCAATCCTGTTCCCTTTGCATATCTGTAAGCTTGATGAAGTTAATTACAGGAGCGGGTGAAAGATTATTGCAAGGAAAAATATCATTTTGTTGAGCATTGTTCATTGAACAGGCTAGCAGTTCAGTTCCTATCTCTTTGTCTGCTCTTGTCTGTCTGTCTGCCTGTCTTCTTGTCTGCCTGTCTTCCTGTCTTCCTGTTTGCCTGTCTGCCTGTTTCTCTGTGTATCCCTGGTTTTCTGGTACTATGTCTCTGCTTCCCAAATGCTGGGACTAAAGTCATACATTGTTCCACATGCCGTCAGTTAGTGGTTTTCATTGTTCTAAAATGACCACATAGACAGTTATCAGACTTTGTATTGATAAATAGTTTCATTTGCATATCTGCTTTATATCTTGCTTAGGAATAACCTTAAGTGGTAACTAAAAATACTGGCCTAAAATTTTTTTAAGTAAATGTATATCAGAGACATTGAGAATTCTTAAAGACAAGAGATTCATTGTCCTGTAGGTGGAAAAAATCACACAGATTCATTGTTCGTTAGTTATCAGAGTACATTTGATGCCTGTATCATTTAGTTCACAACTTATGTCTCAGGGAACCATTTGCATGTCTGCCATGGGTTCCTAATAACACAAGTAGAATCTAAAGAGTTGCTTCCATACCTGTTGGGAATGTAGTTGTTTCTGTAATGCTGTCACTGAAGTTGTGTAGTTTTGCCCCTAAATCACCATGTAGAGAGGATTATGCATGTCAAGATATTTCTTCCATACTGGTCTTATATTCTCAGGATTATAACATTTTTCTAACAGATGAACATGGTGTTCACATGAGGCATAGTATTCTGGAAAAATAAATATAGTTTGTAATATGAAGGATTAAACCCTCTCCCAGAGATGCAATTTAACAATCATTACTCAAAGGAAATATTGGGAAATTTTCCACTATGGTTTAATGTTTGGGTTGTTAGAGGTAAAAAGGGCTCCATCCTTAAAGAAGCTTTGGTTTAGCAAAGAGCAATCACATGACTCAAATACCATAGTAATGTCAGGGAAAAAGCCAAGCTCAGGTGACTTTTCACCTTCAAATGAGTGTCAGGAGGGCAGGATTTGTAGGCAGCTCTCAGCAGGCAGGCAGAGGCTGTGCAAAGGGAAGAGCAAGTGCGAGAGCACTGTGGGGTGAGAAGGGCAAGGCTGTGGCTCACTGACTGACCCTCAGAAGAAGTGAGCTCCAGTAAGTCTTCCATGGGATTTTACATTATTTTGAGAGATATCAAGTTCTCAGAGTTATCAACTATTGTTTTTCTACAGGATACTTTTACACCATGCACTCTGGCTCAATTAAGAAACAATGAAAGCCTGGCAAAGTTTTTAATAGAAAAGAGAGACCAGATACTGAAACCAGATGAACTGAAGAGGTAAAGTTGCTAATTCTGTTATTTTTCTGTTTTTGTGATATTCTATAATGGGTACAGTCACTCATGTCTGATCCAATAAATTGATATGAAGACCAAATAAATATATTATTTAGGATATCAACACATAGTTTCAATAGATAGAGAAGGAATTATCCAAATTACAGAGTGTATACACAGATTCATGATTAATTTTCAATATGAGCCATAGGTTTTCATTCATAATCTGATTCTGTTTGTTGTTAATATTAGCTAGAGATTTTTAATATCAGAGTTTCTTTAAAGCATAGATTTGGAACTCTATATATTAGTATTTGATTTAAAATGAACATCATAAGAATTTTTATGTAAATATGTTATATTCATTCCCTTTTTAAATGCCATATTAAATAAAAGTACGAGGGCTCTATCCTTTTTTCTCCTCAGTTTTCTGTTTTCTTCAAAGTTTTTTTTCAATCTTTGTTTGAAGGCAAGTACCTAACATTCTCAACATTTATGAACTTGAGAAATGGGGATTGCCTTAAGATTTTTGTCAGCCTGAATTAGTACTTGGACAGGTTCAGACAGGGATACATAGAAAACCCAAGTCTATCTTTACACTTAACATACACACAGACACAGACACAGACACACAGACACACACACACACGCACACACACAAAGAGAGATGTCTGTGGGAGGGAGAGTGAGAGAGGTATCTTGCTGGTAATTGTGCCTATCTTCATTTTAAATGTGAAAACCATTAGGTAAACATAGGGAAAAATCAGCAGGATTTTGCTTCTCTGTCACATTTTTCACTATATTGTACACAATAAAAGATTCTAGTGTTTGTTAGTTCATATGGACCTGAAAAGCTAGGACCTGTTTGGAAAAGCAGAATGCAGGTTGTAATTTTCAAGTTTTTTTAC